GGGTGACGTGCCCCTTAAACATCTGCACAGATGTTCAGAGCTGTACTCCTCATAAGGGTCACCAGAGGTCCAAAGTCCTTTTTGAACTCCACAGAGTGCCACAAGGTAACATGTTAGAGCTTTACCCAGTTGAAGAAACCATTGCTGCTTGTGTAGGGTAGGTGGGGGGCATCAGCTGTTATCAGCAGTGAGCTTCCCAGTTAGCTATTAAACCCACCAGTTGACTTACCTGTGATAGGGGATTAGAGTGCAATAATTGAGTATGCTTAATATCCAAAGTAATGAAAGAAAATGGAGTACTTGAAAACAGCGTAGTGTCAGGGCCTTGATGAGTGCCTCATCATTCTCTAGTTGATGGGGAGGGAGGTGTTGCAGGAGAGAGGCGCACGGGGTTTCTGGCCACCCATTGTCCCTTGAAGCCCAGGGTAGAATGGATGTGATTATGCCATTGTCTTCCTTCCTGATCTGGGGATACGTGTGTGTCATGCCACATGGCTTGGGTATGCCTTTACAAAAGAGGATAGTAAGCTTGCCACTTTCTTCTTCTAGTTTCTAAGGTAAGTGATTGGGGGCATCTGTGACATATTTAATGTCAGGAACCTTTGAGCAGCTGGCAGACATAAAATAGTAGAAGTGCTGGGAACATCTGTTCTGTAGATGAGGTTTACCTTGTGCCTGCATTGGTAGGTAGCAGACATGCCTCTATCCTCCACAGAGGTGGAGAGCTTAGCCTGCAGAGCTCTGCTGCTGTGTGCTTGGGTGACCTCACGAACAGAAGTGCCTCAGTGCCTTCATCAGCAAAGCCCTGATCATGTGCTCATCGGACTGAATGGAATAACACAGAGGAAGTGTAGGAGTACTTTTTCATCAGGTCTGCCAGTCCACAAATAATGACAAGGAGATTTATTAATCATGAAAGGTTGGCCTTTAGCTTAGGCTTGTCTCAACTACCTCTTATAACTTAAATTATCCCATTTATATTAATCTGTGTTCTGCCACATGATGTTACCTCATCTCCGCACTGCCCATCCTGCTTCTCCCGAGTCTGTCTGTCAACTCCGCCTCTCTTCTTCCCAGAGTTCTCTCTGCCTGGATGCCCCACCTACCCTCTGCTGGCCGTTGAGCTTTCTGTAACGCCTGTCGCAGCAATACACCTTCACAGTGTGTACGAATGTCCCACAACAGGAAGCGTGAACCCGAGGGCACCTGTATTATTGTCGTTAGCAACGGCAGCCTTATGTAGCTACCTGCAGGGCCCAATGCTTGTCTGTGTCTAACAAGCGCAGTAGTTGTATCCTGCCTCATCCATATTTTCAAGGTGTGAGTTACAGTCAGCTGTGGTCCAAACATAGCAAATGGGGAATTCCAGAAATGAAATAATTTTAAGTTAAAAAAAAAAACTTCTGTCACAGTATATTAAGTCTGTTCTGTTTTGTTGTTGTTAGTTCTTACTGTATCTAATTTTTAAATTCAGCATCATGGGTATATGTGTTTAGGAAAAACCATAGAGGTTAGCGCTTCCTGAGGTTTCAGATATCCCTGGTAGTCTTGGTATCTGATTGTGATGGATCAAGGCACAAATACTATATTTAGCAAATACTCTTGAGAGCCCTTGACCAGCCTTGAATTGCTAATCCAAGGTCCCAAAAGGCAGCCAAGGACACTCCCTGTCACGTAAATAGCTGTTCCTGAGCCAGTGTCTCCTGGGCTTTTTTCCTGAGTACCACTGGACATCTGTCTGCTGGGGTTTCATTCTTCCTAGAAATACAGTGCAGCCTCGTTTCTGGACCAGAATCAGGATTACAGGATATGTGATGTAGAACAAGACATGGATTTGAGAAAGCAGCCCTCATCCTGTTTCACCTGGATGGGCTTCCAACATTTCATCATCACTGAAGGTGGACTACCCGACACAGTGTAGGAGCATGTTGCTTCCAGAGCCCAGGACGAGGGCAAACTGAGTCTTCTTCACATAGCAGACAGTGAGGGCAAGGTTACCCTTCTGTTTAGCCAGCATTTGTTAGCTGGCTAATCCATTAGTAATTGAGAGTTCCTGTTAGTGCCTAAGCAGCTGACCTGACATTGGCTCTGTGTCTAATTGAATGCTTTGAGAAATGAAATTGAAAAGTGGCGAAGAGACTTTGCAGTCAAGGAACTGTACCGCTGCCTGGTGTTAGTCATAAGACAGGATCTATGGTTCTGGCTTTAGCCTTCTCTGAAGGAACATTTGGAGTCACATCTGCCAGGAGACTTCACATGCTGTGTGGTTGAGTTTTGGATATACCAGGGCTTGTTGTTTGGGAGAAGATATTAAAGGCCTAGTGTGGTAGCCTTGTTGTACTGCTTTCAATATGACTTTTGTGTAAGAGAATCACTGGACCACTGTTTTCCTGACAAAACCAGATGGCTGAGCTGCCATGTTCATCAGAGATTTGTGCCAAGCTTATTAGCATTTGCCAATCTTGTGGGACTAAGAAAACTGTGAAAAGCAGCAGGTGTGTGTGCATGTGTATGCGTGTGTGTGTGTGTGTGTGTGTGTTCTCTCGTGTATGCGTGTGTTCTTGTGTATGTGTGTGCGTGTGTGTATGTGTGTGTGTGTGTGCGTGCATGTGTTCTCTCATGTGTGTGTATGTGTGTTCTCTCGTGTGTGCGTGTGTTCTCTCGTGTGTGTGTTCTCGTGTATGTGTATGCATGCGTGCGCACGTGTGTGTGTGTTCTCTCGTGTGTGCGTGTGTTCTCGTGTATGTGTGTGTGCGTGTGTGTGCGCGTGTGTGTTCTCCTCAGGAAGCTGACTGCTATGGCTTTAAGGAGCAGAGCAGGCAGTCCCTTTGCAACTCTAACTGATTGATGAGTCACTCTGTAGGCAGCAGCAATAGCAGCCACTTGCAGGCTCACTCCCTGTTGCCATTGCAAATTTCATGTCCTCTTTAGAAGCCCTGTGTCCCCCAATGAAGTAGAGTTCCAGCTCAGAGGCTTCATCACAGCACTGGCAGAAGGCAAATGGAAATTTGCCTGCAGTATTACCCATCCCATAATAAAACCACCCAAGGGTTGAGGAGTCGTCATCACATCCCCATCACTCGGCCAAGCTTGCAAGCCTGAGTGCATCCTTTCTAGGTGGATTTTTGAAAGCTTTCCTAGCAAAGCAGAAAGGTCTCCTCCTGGCAGCTCATTCCACTGGCGGGCCAGCCTGTCTTCATGAGAACAAAAAGAATTCTGCCTTCCCAGTGTGGGCCTCATACCCCTTTTTTCCTTTCCCAGTGATTCGTGAACTAGTGGAGAAGTTTGAAGACTTTGCAGAAGTTAACACTCCCTCTCAAGCTATCTGGATTGCCTTTATTTGTAGTCAAGTTTGGGCTGCTGAAGTGGCCTTTGCCCTAGTTTACCATGAGCAGAATAATAGTGGTAGCTCAAAAGGAGATGCAAGCAATGATGTGGGATTATTCCGTTCGTAGGCTTGTCTCCAGAGAATTTATCTGAAAGGCAGTGTAGATACTTTTTATTATGGAATTTCTACCTTAGAGCGGTGTGCCTATGTACATATTAAACTTGTACAGTAGCTAAAGTTTGAGTGTACTTTTGTTGGTATGTCTTGTTTCTTCTTAGTATCTTGTTTTTCTAGAATGTTCTTTCTCGATAAAGGATTCTAGGAAAGGGGGAAAGGTTGGAGGTTTAGCTATAGAGTGAACATAAGAACATTTTGAGGATAATGTTTAATTTGGATTTCAGTGGGTAAGGAAAATATCGTGCTTAAAAATATACCATCAGGGGGCTAGAGAGATGACTGTAGTTAAAAGTACATTCTGCTCTTGCAGAAGACCTGAAGTCCCTTCCCACAACTCACTTTAAACAACCACCTATGACTCCAGCTCCAGGGAATACATCCGCTCTGGCCTCCATGGATGCCTGCACTCACCTTTAAAAACGTACCATCTGTGTTTGGAGGTTTAAGTCTTGACTACAAATAGAACATGTTTTTATTTTTCTTACAGAAATAATAGGGCTAGCTCAATCACTCTGAGTTGATGAGTAGTTACAGGATATAACTTCATGAGTGTCTCAGTTACTCTCATGCCTAATTGTGGCACTCCCTAGTTCTTAAAGGTTAATGTGGCATGAAAAAGGATGAGTGTTCATATGTGATTCATAGCAGGCATGTGCTGACAAGAGACCCTGGTGCCATCCATTGGTTCTTACCAAGAGTCTTCTGTGACCAGGACCAACTTGGCTGTACTTAATAGAACAGACATGATCAGTATGGCCTTAACTTGTGTTGAAGCCCCGAGGGTAAAGCCCATGAAACAAGTCTATTCATTGGACCAACCCAGCTGAATATCGATCTCATGGAGCACGTACGAGGAGAGGCAAGGCCACCATACCAGCTTGTCTCAGAAGGCCTAGAAGCCAGACGGAGCTTTCCTCTACTACTGTGGAGCTTCTTGCTTGGTTTGGAACATTCCAGTACCATTGCCTACCTCCCGTATAACATGAAGACAAACACATGTGGTTATGTTCTGTTTGTCACCAGGATGTCTAGTAGGGAACAAGACAGAAGAGAGAGAGGTCAAGCCATGCAAGTCTACTTTGCCACCCAGGGCTTTTGACTGCCAGGGTCCTGAGTGGCAGGCAAGTGTGGAAGACAGTGAATTTCACTATCCTCAGTGCCATGAAGTTAGGCACTCTGAAATATATATGTATGTATGTATGTATGTATGTATGTATGTATATATATATATGTATATATATGTATGTATATATATATATATTCCTTTGAGAAAAATGCTATATGGATTCAGAGTGGCAGTAGAAGGATCTTTATGTTTGCTGAAAACGAATACACTGTTCTGGTGTAAAGAAAGAGGAGATGTCTCATGGAGACAGAAGACAATGGTTTCCAGTTGCCTTCTTTCAGTTTGGGAGGAGATATATGTGTGTATCTATGTATGTATGCTTGTATTAGGTATACATGCACACACATACGTGATTTTTTTTCTTAACAGAATGAAGTTGGCCTACTGGAGTTCTTCCAAAGTGTGATAAAAGAAACTAGGGCAGAGCCAAAAAAGGTGACTAACTGGGTCCTGAACACTCTTCTGTACTATTTAAAGCAACAGAACCTTGCCGTCAGTGAGAGGTGAGTGAGGTCTGGGGATTTCTTTCTTTCTGTATCATGAACTCTGTGTCCAGAGGCAGTTGAAATAGGACAGGGTGAATTTTCTACTCTGCCAGTTCTCCCTCAGGGTCCCCTAACAAGACAACAAACATCCCCTTTGTGTCCCACATTCTAAAAATACTTTCTAGCCCATCTGAAGATTCACCCTGTGCTCAGATGGCTGGCAGAGCGCTGTCTGTGGTGCTGTCCTAGGCGTAGTAGCTGGAGGAAGAACAAGAGGAGGAGTGGGCTCACGTGTGGCTAGTACGAACCCATGAGAAAGCAGATGTCTCCTGGGTCAGATCTGCCATGCAAGAGGCATGCGCAGGGCCCTGGAAACGCAGAGCTGGGGCCTCTGTCGGGCCCAGGGTGATCCTCGGGAAATTATTCAAGAGTCAGGCCCTGAAGAACTCTGGGGGTGCTGTGTACTTGGGTGGAGGTGTGGGGTACAGACATCTAGAAGTTCCGTGATCGGACAAGCAGCCAGCCACAGGAGCTCAGAAAACCCAAAGGCTCTGAGGTACTGAGGTGGGCAGGCTGGGAAGGTAGGTGACAGGCTAGAGAGGTGACCAGGAGCCACCTGAAGAACATTCAGGCCCAACTGGGTCACAGGGCTACCAGGTGTCACAGAACTCGAAGAAGAGGTGCATGGCAAAAGGAAAGAATGAGGGGCTGGGGAGAGAGCTTACGTGGTACAAACATGGGGACTGAGTTCAGATCCTCAGTACACATGTGAAAGAAGCTAGATGCACTGGTCATGCCTGTAACCCAGCAATAAGAGGAGACATAGCAAGGTCACAGAGCCCCAAAGTCTAAATCAGTGAGCCCCGAGCCCCAGTGGGACCACAGAAGACGAGTCCCAACATGGACTTCTGGCTGGCACACTCGCACCTGCACACATGTGCACGTGTACCTGTCTTAGTCACTGTTTAATGCTGTGAAGAGACACTACGACCAAGGCAACTTTAAAAAGTAAGCGCTAATTGAGGCTTGCTTACAGCCTCAGAAAGTAAATCCACGGCCTTCAGGTGGGAAACATGGTAGCAGGCAGGCTACTGAAAGTACCGTGGCCATTCAGGGAAGATGGTAGCCATTTGGAAGAGTGTGAAAGTGACACAGCCTTGCCTTGAAGACTGGAAAGGGTTTGATGAAGAGAGGCCTGAGTGATGTCTGTGGAGATGGAGATGAACTGTTAGCAGACAGGAAGGAACGGAAGCACAGCACACCCTGGGCCACTCACCAGTGTGTGTATCCAGTGCACTGGGGGGAGAGTGGGGAGACTCTCTTTAACCAGGAGATGCCAAGGAAGTTCGAAGGGGGCTAGAAATTCCAGAAGAAGAAATCTTTTGGCTTTGAAGTCATGGTCACCATGTTAATGGTTGCAGTTTGTGGCACTCCTGAAATTCATCCTGGGAGAGAACTTTGGTATCTCAGATTCCCCTCTTCCATTGAGCAGATAGGGCAACTGAGGTCTAAGAGATCAGATGACCTCCCTCTTACAGCAAGTCAGACCCTGCTCCATTCAGCGTCTTTATGCTGGCTGATCACCCGGACTTTCCGCTTTGTGCTGGTCTGTGAATTGGAGGTTTGCTGAGCAGTCTTTTTTTCTGTCTCTGTCTCTCTGCCTCTGTCTCTTTCATATCATATAACATTGATTTTTTTATACAGTCCAGTTATTTCAACAAGAATGTCTTCAGGATAGTATAAGGATTTGTCTAGAAAGCAAGCAGAACTCTAGAAACTTCTCCCTAATCATACATTTTCATCTCTCCTTCCCCTACACTCTGAGCTCTTCCCGGTCCTAGTGTAAGGTGTTTAAGGATCCTTAGTAGACTCTGAACAGCCTTTTCAGCAGCTTCCACCATAACTGAAGGGAATTGGCCTGTTGCGTGAGCCTGGGCACCCCTGGTTTCCTCAGGAGGTTCATAAGCACTGGCATATAGCAAACTCTTCAAGGTATTCCATTCCAAGTAAAGGTGTATACTAAGTCATCCCAAAATCACATAAAGAGGAAGCCAGGGACCACACAGTTCAAAGAACTTTTAGTCATATGGGTGCCTTGTTCCTTTTTCTGTTGTCAGCACCAACTAGGGACCAGTTAAAGCAAGGAGGACTATTTTGGCTCATAGATTTGATCCGAGGTGAGTGCCCATGTCTAGGGACCAGTTAAAGCAAGGAGGACTATTTTGGCTCATAGATTTGATCCGAGGTGAGTGCCCGTGTCTCTTGATGGATGGGCTTGTTGGGGAATCCTCCTGCCACACAGGCTTCGTCACTGGGAGAGCAGGGAAGCTGAGGGAGACCACGCCGGCTTTTCTGTATACCCACTCATTCAGAATAACCCGAAGTCATCCATGAGGGAAGAGTCCTAGTGACATCCTAAAGATCCCTCTTTCAATACCTCATAGAGATTGCGTATCAGCATGAATTTCACTGGGGACAAACCATATCCATACAGCAGCCACTGATGCTGCCAGCCTAACCACAGAGCTAACCTTAGGAAATGAACCTCCTTAGCCACCAGGGCTAGTATGGCAAAGCTAACTGCAGCTTCCCCGTGACTCTGGGCACTACTCACTTCAGATAGTTTCCATACGGCTTATCCCTGCAGTTTGTTGTCCCTCCATAGAACTCAGTGTGGGTGAGCTTTTGGCCTCTCTGGGAGCTTGTAAATGACGCAGGTAGGAGAAAGAGGAGCTGGAACAGCATGGCAGCCCTGGCCTTCTACAGACTGAGGAGAGCCTGGGAGCCAAGGAAGAGAGCATTCAGTTGGCAGGGCGAGCAGGCAAGGAGCAGACGAGGGATGCCAGGAAGAGGAAGGACCCAACAGGCCCTGGAGAAGGGCTTTTCTCAGGGCTGCAGCTGGGGTCGGGTACAGGGTACATGAGGAGGGAAAGGGCAGACTGAGCAGCTAGTGAGGGCGTGGTCTTTCAGAGAAGAGCTTCTCTAGTGGGTAGGGTCTAATCCCAGTACATTCTTACAGGGGCCAGTGGTAACAAACACAGATTTATTCATTCATTCAATCATTTGTACCTTACTTGCAAAAGGTACTAAGCCAAGCAGGGCAAATAGCTGAGGGATCAGTTGGGATGTTTCCAGTAGGGAAGGTCCGAGTATGGACAAGGGACAAGATTAAAGCTTCATGACAAGAGAGCTAAGCCTCCCAGAAGGCTTTGGGAGAGATGGTGGGTACAGACAGGTGAAGAGGGGTTAGACTCAATGGGAAAAGGAGGGGAGAACCTGGAAAGCAGTGCGCCTCTCAGCTGAAGTCTTGGGAAATAGCTGAGAGCACGTCCTGAGAATGAGACCCTGGAGAACAGTGAGGAGTGAGGCTACCACGTGGGGCCCCAGAAAATAGAACAAAAGTGCCACCTGGAGGTCCAGGTTTCTACACCTCCTTCCAGGAGCCTTTGTGTCTTGTTTTAGCAGAAGAGAAGAGGGGCTGAGGGAAGTGGTGGACTGAGATGGACGTAGTGTCAGGCTGTCTGCTCTTGGGATCCAAGCTGGAGATGGAGTTGTGACCCGAAAAGCTCTGTGAGGAACTGAATGAAATCACAAGACTTGCAGATCTCATTCCATTCTTTCCCAGACACCTTGTCTCAGAATTGATGAGAGCCAAGCACAGGAAGCTTAACCTTGAGGTGTCAGTGCTTCTTTCATGGAGACACACATGCTGTCCAGAATCCAAGATTGTCTGACAGCAGCAAATTAGTAGGCTATGTGGCTGCCACCACTGGGTCTGAATCCTGATGGTTTATTTATTTAACTGATGAAGAGTGTCTCTCAGGATCAGTATGACAGGTACTGATCGTTGTCATGGTCTCACAACTTTAGCCCTGGCATAGCTGCAGTCTGCAGTCAACTCCTCCACATCCGATGTTCAACCAACTACAGGTTGGAAATATCTTTGAAAAATTACAACAGTAATGAACACGTACAGACTCTTTTCTTATCAGTATTTCCTAAACAACACAGTGCAACAACTGTTTACATACAATCCATATCATATTAGGTAGATAATCAAGAAATTATTTAAGGTATATGATGTACATAGGTTCTAGATGATTGTATCACCATGTACAAAGGACATGAATATCCATAGACTAGAATCCATGGGGTAGTGTGTTCTGGCTGTCAGACCCTTAGGTACCAAAGAGCACTGTATGTGTAGTGTGGCAGTTGTCCATTATTGGCCTGCTGTGTACCAGTGTGTTGTGAGAACAGAAATGTGACTGAAAAATCCCATCTGCTATTAGAGGAAATTTATAACTAGACTAGTCAATTAACATCATGTGATGAATTTCTGTAAGTACATTCTTCTTGTGTGATCTTATGTTCTTTGTCCCTCTCTACATCTTTTTTTTATAAATTTTATTTAAATTAGAAACAATTTTATTTTAAATATCAATCATAGTTGCGTCTCCCTCCCATCCTCCCATGACTCCCCCACCGACCCCCCATCCCATCCCCCTCCACTCCCCAGTATGAGTTTTTGTGTGTGCTCCAAAGTCATACATTGTGATACTAGGAAATGGAGTCTTGAATGTGGATCTTTGAGGAATATGATTAGTGCTTTTCTACAAGAGGCCTTGGAGAGCTCGCTTACCCTTTAACTATTGTGAGGACACAGCAAGAAGGTGCCAGGAGCAAGAAGGCAGGGACTCAGTGACTCAGGTTCTGTGGGACTTTGATCTCCAATTTCCAGCCTTGAGAACTGTGAGGAATAATTTATCTGTCTATAAGCCACTCTACCTATGGTATTCTCTTGCAGCAAATCAAATGGACCATGGCAATCATTGACTTATGAATGGTGACCTCTCTTCATGTTCTAAAAACCTAGTGCAACCTCAGTGCTTATTATGAGTTACAAACATAGTCTATACTATAAGATAAATGGTGATTGTATTTTATGGATTAGAGAACATCCAAGCTACCTATACAGTTTGAAAACAAACATTCTTATTTCTTGCAAGTAAAGATGAAAGGTTAGAAAAGACTATTATTTACTTTGCAGCCCTCTGCCTCTCTGGCATTAATCAAGATAGTTCTTAGACTTCTGAGTATGAATTTAGTACCACTAGATAGTCTCCAAACCTAGTTTCCACTTGGAGTTACCTGGTATCCATACTTTGGGATAAACAGTAGTTTAAGAATGGTGGCTTCCCAGTGTTCGTCCCTAGTGCACAAATGGACTTTGGGAGCCCATTCCCTATGGAGGGATACTATTACAGCCCAGATACACAAAAGAGGGCCTAGGCCCTCCCCCAAATGATGTGACAGACTTTGATGATCCCCCGTGGGAGGTCTCACTATCCTTGGGGAGTGGGTGGGGGGTGGGTTGTGGGGGTTGGTGGGGGCCATGGGAGGGAGAGGGAATAGGGATGGGGATTGATATGTGAAACAAGATTGTTTATAAATAAAAAAAGAATGATGGACCCTCCCTAGACTGAATGAACAACCCTAAAAATAAGGCGCATGAATTAGAATGTGGTGATCTTGAACGCTATTGGTCTGGCGTTCATGGAAATTGGCACTGAGGAAAAGCTATAGTTCCCTGCTTGTTACCTAAAAATTTCTAAAGAAATGACTAGTGAATGACAGGAAGCAAGACTTCTATAGAAGTGTTTCAAGTGCATAAGTGCTTCGGAGTCCTTTTATTCGGACATACGTATGTCCTGTTTATAAATGGGTCCTGTTTACCTAGTCCCATGATGACCTCACATAGTCATTTCATTATCCCAGTTACTGTATACATTTAGAAGTAGCTACCAAGTATTTGTAAAGATGCGGTCTATGACTCCATTCTGTCATCAGTCCAGGTACATACCCTCTTTGAATGTGAGTTAATGTCACCTACAGTATTTATTTTCCCCAAACTTTCTGTCATAGTCAATAAATTGTGTTTCTAGACCCATTTGTGTTGAGAAAGCTGTTAAGAATCTGCAGATACCTAAAAACAATGCATGTAGAAGGCCTGTGAGGTAGACATCACGTTTCCCTTATGGAAAACCCTTACAGTGAAAAGCAATTTATATTTGCATAAAGACACTCAGGAAAGTGGTTTTGTTAAATAATTTTTAGACCCATCCTTCAGTCAAAAAATATTTAATTACTGGATGTTTTGCCCCTTTGTGGTTCATGAATTTTGTAGTCACCTCCCTTTTTGAACTAATTACATTAAGCAGTTAACTTTTTTATAACTGCTATCAAACAGCTGTTATTGTTGGGTGGTAAAATAAAGAATTTTAAAAAACACAGTATAAAAATTCGTTCTCTTAAAATACAAAATAATAGAGTCCAGTTAGCCTATTATTTTCATCCTTGGATATGGTTAATTATTTAAACATACAAAAGCAAGAGTTTGGCTGGGCGTTGGTGTCGCACGCCTTTAATAACAGCACTTGGGAGGCAGAGGCAGGAGGATCTCTGAGTTCGAGACCAAGCCTGGTCTACCAAGTGAGTTCCAGGACAGCCTCCAAAACAATACAGAAAAACCCTGTCTCGGAAAAAAAAAAAAAGAAAGAGTTTGGATTCTGGTAGCCAATGGGCCCCTGCTGATGTAAAATGTTGATTTTTCTCTCTCTTCTGGGGGCCACTAGTCCTGTCACACCTGCTGCGCTCGCCGAGCTCCTTGACCTGCTGGACAGTAAAGCGATTTCTTCCTCAGCAGCTAAACAGGTATGTGCACATTCCCAGAAGGCTTCCCGTTGCTCCACAATCCCAGTTAATATTTTCTGTAAAACCCAAATGGCATCACTAAGTGAATTTCATGACTGGAGTATTAAGTGCCCACGAGTCTGAATGCTCAGAGATTTCATCTGGCAAATGTAGAAAGCCAGCAAAGTGCAGCACGGGGATTCAGCATGGGGTTTTGCTTCTGGTTTTAGCTTATTGGGGGAGCTAGCTATAGTCTGGCCTTTTCCTGAGTGTCTACCCCAAACGTTGCTGAGCACATAGCCTCCCCGTTGTCATGGCCAGGCAGCCGAAGCTTGGCCCTAGTCCACATGCTCCTCTCCTGTCTGTTCCTGTCACAGACCTGTCCCTCAGGAGTTGGTCCTCAGGAGCGGGGCTCAGTCTGCTGCATGCTTGGGAGATGGTATTTTACATGTGTACCTAGGTGTAGAGATACGGGGAAAAAGAACATTGTCTAAAGTGGACGCCTCCCTAACCACCTCCACTAACAAGGCTAGTGGCTGAGTGATTCGTAGAATTAAGAAAACTCTACAAATGAGTACCCAGAATGATAAAGAACACCTAGGGCTGCCTCGTCTCAACTTCAGAGGCTGCGCAGCTGTCAGTGCTTCAGCCTAAACCTAATGTTATTTTAATGGCGCCTTTTGCATTTAATATTTATACGCTCTGACAGTAGTGGCAGGTTACAAAGTGAGGCTTGGGGAAACGGCTGCTTTTGGTTAATTATGAGACACCACCGAGCGTACTCCAAGCTTTCTGCTGTGAAACTGGAGACAGGAACTGGAGAAGGTTCTATGAGCTGCCTCATGTGAGGCTGTCAGCTACAGGGACCCAGCACTTAGAAAGGGCTTTGCCTTCCATAGATGTCAGAGGATTGCAAATATTTATAACACTGCTCAGCAGTTGTGGAAAGAGTAGATGGCTCGGGGCAGAAAAACTATGTACACACGTAAGAGCAGATGAATCGTAGCATTTGAAATAAAAGAAGAAAAAAACCTTCCCCTTGTCCTTCCTACATGCCCTGCCCCCCCCCCCCCCCCCAAAAAAAAAAAAAAAAAAAAAAAAAACCTGAGTCTGTCAAGTAAGATAGTTCCAGTGGGGAGAAACAGAAAGGCTGGAAGCTGCTGACAGCTGGCTTCAGCTGCAGATAGAGACATGTTTGCATTTTCCAACTTCCAGCATGTCTAAAGGCTTCTGTGAGGCCATGAAATGAAAACAAAACCTCATCTGCAGTGTTCAGTGTGCGCTGCTGGGGAATCTCTCTCACAGATCAGGGCCTTGGGGATTTTGTCTTGTATTTTCTACTCTTTGCTTTCTGTTTGTAAGAAAGCCATTGATTTTTCTGGACAGAAATAATGAATATTATGTTTATTGATTATAAAGGATTTAAGTAGCCATTCATGGTGATATAAGCCTGTAATGCCAGTACTCAGGAGACTAAGGCAGAGAGAGCTAGATTTCTAAGTCAGCCTGAACTACATAGTAAGTTCACAGCAAGGAAGACTCTGCTTTCAGCTGACAGACAGACCGACCCCTCCAGTAATGCATTGACTGTGTAGATTGTCAGCTGCTATCCTGAGAGAGTTGTCATTGCTGTTGGGTGAGCATCAATGTATCAGCACACCATTTTTCAAGATAATCTCTAATGATTTGCATCGCCATGCTCTTGGTGGTAATGTCATCTATCTCGTGTTTGTTTTTCTCTGTTTTATGAGTTTTTTTTTTCTTTTTTCTATCCTGCCGTCTAAACCCCCAGGGTGCTGGGATTTGTAGCTGTGTGCTACCCACATGGCTTAATTATTTTTTTAACTTTGTATCTTTTCTTGTTAGTCTAGCTAAAGACTTGTTAATTTTATCTTCTCAAAGAACCAATTTGTTTCTTCTTTTTTGTTGTCTTTACAATCTTTCTGCTCTGATCTTTATTATTTCCTTTACTTACTAATTTTAAGTTTGGTTTGTTCTTGCTTCTCTAAATCCTTAAGATATATCACTGTTTGGGGTTTGGGGGCTGGGAAGATGGTTCTGTGTGTGACCAGAGTTTGGATCCATCAACAGGCATGGTAGCCCACCTCAGTGTTTGGAAGGTGGAAACTGGGTATTCCTGGAGCAAGCTTGGGTTCTGGTATCTCTGGAGTGAACTTGGGTTCTGGGTTCAAATGAGAGATCAAGTGGAGAACAATCCAGAAAAACACCTCACATCATTTATCAAACACATATGTGCACCCATGCATATGTGAACACACACACACACACACACACACACACACACACACACACACACGCATGCATACACACATGCATACTGACCACAGCACTCACAGTCAGTCCTAACCCTGTATAGGTAGACATGGTACTAGTGGCCAGCAGTGGGAATCAGATAGGTATAAGGACAGCTACTGAGGTGATGCCCACCCAGAAGTCAGATCTTGAGGGGTGGGACTTGGCCATGTATACTTAGAGTTAAGGCAATGGCTGGAGCTTTCCCTTCCCCAGTGCTTTCAGTACTGAAAGGACAATAGAGTCCCACCAGCCTCCCCTCAGAGGCTCCCTTTACTGTGTGGCCAAGGATGAGGTGACAGCAGGACTTTTCCCCCAAGAACTCAGCTGAAACACCCATAGTAGCACACTGTGTGGAAAGCTGCTGCTGTCAGGCAAGGTTTCCCTCCAGGCCTTTAGATCTTTAGATCATGCCTGCCCTGTTCGTGAGAGAGGCCAGCATAGGACTCTTCTGACAAGGGTGGCAGAAATGTGTGAGTCACTGCCTTGCCCTGGCACAGGTATGAATCCCTAAATCCCCTAGCCACACCCCTGGTCTTGGTGAGACCCTCACCTGCCCTGCTCTTAGAAGTGGCACCTTCCCTTCTCCCCTGTGTCATCATACTTGTCCCTGCTGTTTGGATATTCAATGGGTTTAAGTCACTTTACTTGACCAGTTCCCATTCATAAGATAGCCTGCTGAGCCAGGGCAGTGGATTGTCTATGGCAGTGGTTCTCAACCTGTGGGTCAGGATCCCTTTGGGGGTCAAACGACTGTTTCACATGGGTCATTTAAGACCATTGAATAGCACAGATATTTACATTACTATTCATAACAGTAGCAAAATTACAGTTATGAAGTAGCAACGAAAGTAATTTTATGACTGATGTCACCACAATGTGAGAAACTGTATTAAAGGGTGGCAGCATTAGGAAAGTTGAAAACCACTGGTCTCTGGGGTCCCAGAGTTAGGAGTGTGCCAGGGTCCCTGATTCTCAGAGCAGCAGTTTCCACAGTAGGTCCCTTCTCAGATGGCAGTTTGACCATGTGAACCTGGGAGAGGAGAACTGAGGCAGCCTGAAGTCTCATGGAATGGCCAGCCTTATTCAGAGCATCTGACAGTTTATACTCCGAGGGCTAAGGAGAATCACGTGAGTCAGATAATACAATCACAAGACAAAACTATGTTTTCCCATAGAGGCCCAGAAATAACTAACAATAGCCAACTGTGATGCATAATCTGAAATACACTCATTCCTATCTGTTACACCCAGGAGGAGCACAAAACACAGTCCAAGAACAATTGTGCTTTAAAGAAACTGAAGTCATGAGACTATTGTGTTGTTTTCTCAGTTTCCTCACAAGCACCCAGCCTCCCCTCACATGACTCCATTCTTGGATTGTGTCCATCAGCTCCCGAATACAGCACCCCAGGAGATGATGTACAGTCCTTCTCCACAGTAAGGGAGCCGAGCAGATTTGGGGTTACACTTCCAAGGGGCTTAAACCTGTGAGTTTGTGAAACTTGCCAGGAGCTAGGGTTGCCTGTACCTCCATTAAGCTTTACAGGGGCTCTCCCTTCCCCTCACCTCTACAGGGGAAGATGCCCGCCCCTGGCCGTGGAGCCAAGGCAGCAGGTGCCAGGCTTTTCTCTCTGTGCGTGTCTCATCTCTCTGTCTCACAAGGCCTCGGTTTCCCCTTCTGGTTTCCATGACTCTCCCATGGTCACTTACCTCAAAATGCAGAACTCACATCACTTAGCTCTTCTTTGGGAGAGGATGTTGCATGCCTCTTGAAAAATCCTGTTCGTGCTTACTCTGTTCACAAGGTAGACGCTATCACCACTCTGTCCAGAAGCTTCTGTCACCTCAGAAGACAGCCTTGCCGTACTCGCTGCTTCCGGTTCTTCCCCATCCATCTGTTCCTCCCAGTATGTCTTCTGTATCCGGATTTGCCTATGGTTGCCTTTAAAGTAGGACTCACAGAACATGTGCCCCTGACTGATTTCCATCACAGGTTTTGAAAAGTCCTTGCATAGTGTGGTATTCATGAGTACTTGTTTATCCTTGTCTAAATGTCTGTGGTGTTATATAAGTGCCCACTTGTTTCACACGTACATTCCCTGGAGCACATGTGGAAGTCAGAGGACATTAGCAGGTGTCAGTTCTTGCTTTCTACCTTCTTTGAGACAGGGCTTCTTTTGTCTGTGTATGCCAGGCAAGCTGCTGGCAAGCTTCTGGGAATTCTCCTCTAGGTACCTCCTATCTCACTGAGGGAGCACTGACATGTGTACAGATGTGTGCTACTATCCTTGCCTTTATGTAGGTTTGGGAGATTTGAACTCACGTCCTCACAACTTGCACCACAAACATGTTACCCACTGAGCCATCTCCCTAGTACTTCATTTTTATATCTTACAGATGTACTACATTGTATGCATCAGTTGATGGACACTTGCTTCCAGTTTCATGATGGTGCACTTGAAATTCATGTATAACTTCTTTAATGAGTGTGTTTTCAAGTTCTTGTATAGATGTAGGAATGGCATCTCTGGAATGTATGATTATTCTGTCTGTTATCCTAAGTAGCTGCACCATTTCTTATTTGCACCCTCCATACAGTGTAGAAGGTCCCAGGTGCTCCACATTTTTGCCAGGACTTGATACCTTTTTACTTTTGCAAGGTTTTAAACTTAAATATATCTACCATTTTCCCACTTTCTTTCCTACCTCCAGCCCCTCCCATTACCTCCATGCTTCAGTCTCAAATTCATGGACTCTTTTTCTTTAATTATTACTGCTGTTTATATGCACATAAACACTCACATGCACACACACAGACACATGGTGGCACACACCCTTAATCCCATCACTCAGGAGGCCGAGACAGGTGGATCTCTGAATTCAAGGCCAGCCTGGTCTACACAGTGAGTTCCACAACAGTCAGGGCTGCACAGAGAAAATTGTGTGTGTGTGTGTGTGTGTGTGTGTGTGTGTGTGTGTGTGTGTGTGTGTGTGTATACACAAATAAGTAAACACATAAACACACACAAACCTGTTGAGACCCTTAGTTATTTGTGTGTATGTTTTCAGGGATGACTTGGTATTGGATAACCAGTTAGGGGCTCATCCCTGCTGACAATAGGTGACCTCTCTCAGAAGTCTTTAATTGCCTGTAAGTCTTGTCCAGGGTAGGGACCTGTGAGATCCCCCCCCCCCACTCTCTCTCCTCTCTCTCGATAGTATGTTTGTTGGTGTTGCCATTGTTGTGGTCTTGTTTATGCAGCCACACTGTTGGGGTTCCATGGGTGAGGTCCCCGTCATTTCAAAACAGACTTTTTGGTCCTGAGTCCTACACATGGAGGGTTGTGTTGTAGATGTGTCAATAGGGGTTGAATACCCAAAATTAGTTGTGGTTTGTATCTTGACCAGATGTGGTTTTCTACTGGTCTCTATCTGCTACAAAGAGAAGTGTCTTCGAGAGATGGGAGATGGACTTCTCTGTAGGAATCAGTGTGTAGGATACAGTTAGGAACTACACTTTTCAACTAAGTGGGAGTCATAGGTTCGCTGTGATTTCTCACTGTATAGCCAACGGCCTGTAACTCACTATGTAGACCATACTATCCTTGAACTCACAGAGGTCCTCCTGCCTCTGCCTCCTGAGTGCAAGGATTAAAGACATCGCCACCACACATGATTTTTATTAGTCCTATTCCTGAATGTAAAATGTATCTTACTGGATAGAGATGGATTTCTTTTATGACTAATTATGTTAAGCATCTTTTTACTTCTTATTTTATGATGTTTTTTAAGTAAATAAAAAGAAAAACTGTGTTGTAATTAATTTTAGTGCATTAATGGAAGAGTCCAACAAGTGTACTTTAGCCCTAGAAACTTATTGGCATTGCCTCTGACAGTCCGGAAGAGACTGCATGTCTGACTAAAGTTAACTACATGGCTAGCTGATGATAAAAGATGCACACAAAGCCTCGTCCTGTCCTGAGAATGCTCTGAGTCCAAACCCTTGTCCTTTGTGCTATAGTTTGTATTAGTCCCTCTGCCTCCACCTGCCTCTTGCTGACACGGCTGCCAATTAGTTCTGACTTCCCGCATGTCACTGCACCCTCCTCCCCCGTGTTCCAGTGGTGCTTTGAGGCTACGGCCTTAGTCCCTCGGAAGTCTGGGGCCAGAGCAGTAAGAGGTGTCCACTGGGCAACAGCCCTATTTGTCAGAAATAGAAACCTGAAGATCGTGTGCCATGATGCACATCCTCCTGGCCACTGTGGACAAAAGCACCCTGCAGTCCTCTTTCGGGAGCCAGGTCTGTGTATTGAAGTGGCAGGTCGCAGTCCCATCACCTCTCCTCACTAAGGACAGGGCCAGCTGGGACACATCGGACTCCAGAGCTATCAGCATCGCAGCTGACTAGCATATAGTCCAAGGAGGTCCAGGCTGTGTCCCAACTGCTGGCCAAGCTCCAGCTCAAGGGCGGATGCTGGGTGTGTTTACAGCTTCTTTATGGAAGTGAATGGTCCCTTGTCTCCTGAGCATTGTCCAGCTAAGGCTGCTGCTAGGACCAGGCCAGAAGGGGTCCACAGAGAGGAGAGCCACATTTAACACACTCTGTGCCATTCAGTCAACCTCCTCTGTGTGCCTGGAGTGGGCCTTAGAGAGAAGACTCCAGAAACTTTCAGATGTAAAAATGTTACCGTGTACCATGTCCTGACTGTCACTTGACTCAAGTCCCTCTCTAGGTGCTTCCACTCCCTCCATAGCTCACCCTGCCCCTCCTCCTCGGGCCTTCTGCTGGGTCTTCACGTCCTGCAGGGATGACCTCTTGAGCATTTGCCTTTGACTCCTCTCTGTGGGGACACGGCTCCTTCCCTGACATTTCTCTTGAACCAGCCTCTCCCTTGTCCTGACTCAAAGCCTAGGGCAGGCAATGGCAGGTGAGGGGCCTGTGTGCTTTCTTTCTCGGTTGGGTAGCAGTTAAGAGCATAGACTCAGCTCCCAGGGACACAGGCTGTTTCTGCCCCACCTGTGGCTCCTGGCTCATGTCTGTGTGACTGGGACTTTGCAGCTTGTGTCCCCCATACTGTTGGTGGCTACTTATTCCCTGAGATAACAGTTCCCAGAGTATGAACAGACTGAGACAGTAGCTGAGGATTATGCTGCAATGGGAGCCTGGCCACAGAGGCCATTATGTGAGAGGCAGGACAGGACTAGGGATAGCACACACCCCCCACACCCCTTATTTCTTTCTTGCTGGGTTCCAGCCAGGAGCTCCTAGTCCTTGTTTAAGTACAAATGGGCAAAGGGTTGGGGGACATGCCGGCCACTATGCTCCCAGTGGCTCCTGGAGCCACTCAGCGGTGTGTGCTAGCCCTTCTCCAGAGCAGCCGCCTAACATTTAGAAGTGCCGGTTATACTTCCCACCCCGGTGAAGTAGGCCTGGCACCTAGTGCAGTTCTAACCAGCTTTTGAGCCTTGGGTGCCAGGCTGTCCTTTGTCAGCCTGTTCCTGGGCCCCAGAATTGACCCAGTGACTCCAGGACAGATTGTGAGGAGCTGGGAGGGTGCCCCTCCAGGTCTGCTAAGCAGCTCTGTCCTCTTACCGGGAAATAGTAAGTTCTCTGTGCCAGGGCCTTGCAGGTTGGGTGTGTTCAAAGCTGGGCCTGAGGCTCGTCTTCTCTTCTGATTTTGGATGCCTGAGCTAGGGGAGCTGCTTTAGGAGGCTGCAGATGACGGGAAGGATGGGTTAACTTCACCAAGTCATGATAATTATGGCTAGTAGACATTAGCTTTTATTAATGTAAGTACTTCTGCAATAAGAAAAGCTGGGCACGCATTCCTTTGTTGCTTTCTACCTTAGTTTTTGAGGCAGGGACCCCACCGAACCCACAGCTTTCCAGTCTGACTGGACTGGCTAGCCAGCAAGTTGCAGAGATCCTCCTGTCTCCACCTGCCCAGAGCCGGGGCCAGTCTCAAGTTCCCATATTTACACAGCAAGTTCTGTGCCCACTGAGCCATGCCCCCAGCAAATCTACCAGGGATAGGGCAGAGTACTCCTCAAACTTGCCTCTGAGCAGCCTCACGCCCAGATAAACCACTAAAAGCTTTTCTGGATTGATTCACTCAGTTGGGACACTCAAACACACAGAGAAATTTACCATTTTCCACCCCTGGCATAGTCCTGTCCTGGTTAGGGTTACTTTCTTAAGAATGGATTTGAAGATCTGTTTCATGTATTCACTGAACATCTTATGTCCTTTGAAGGCCCGTGGTTCCCATTTCTTCTGTTTCTCCTGGGCCACCCCACCAGGAGTAGGTGGAGGCGGCCATAGAGGTGGCCATGAAGGACTCCCAGTGGAATTTGCTCCAGAGCATCCTGGGCCATCAGGACAGGAGTCTGGCCAGCTGGACAGGGGCACCATGCCCCTTAGGGCACCATGCAGACTCCTGCCTTGTTCTCTGTTCTCACTGGGGAAGGCCGCCCCGCTGGAGCCGGAGCACCTTTTTGCTTTGGCATGCGTGCTGGTTACTGAAGAGCAGTCTTTCCTGGAGGGCGGGGCTGCACAGTGGCACCATGGAGAAGGAGTGTCTGTGTCATGTGGTTGCAGGCTGAGGGCAGGAACCAGACTGAGGCAGCCCTGCATTCTCTTCAGAGGAAAGGGTGAGGAGACCCACCTGAGCAGCCAGCGCCTTCCACTCTGCTTCCCTTTTCCCCCGCGCTTCCTTTAATAACAGTAAACAGCAATCGGGGCACTGACACTAACCGTCCTAGTCAGACTGGGCTCTGTTCTCCCAACAGGACACAAGGAAGGGGCCAGAGCCCTCGAGCTGTGATATACTTGTTTTTTATGTCTTTATCCTGAGGTCACTGCGCTGCCTCCCTCAGCCCCGCTTCCTAGCAGGCTGCTGGACTGTGTATGCAGCGGCCCCCTCCCGCTGCTCGTGTGGCCTGTCCCTGATGAAATGTCACCTCCTTAATTAGTTTAGTGGACTCAAGATAGATCCATCACCAGCCCTCTGTGGTGACCGGTTGCCTGGCTTAGTCATCAAGTGGGGGACACTCCTGGCTGGCCTGAGTTCTCATCTGCAGGAGGGGAGCCGGCCAACCCCAGGGAAGACTTGGGTTTGCTGAAGGGAGATGTCCCAGCCCTCCGGGAAGGTTATGGGAGGGGTGGTGACTTCCCCCTGGGCCAGGCCGTGTAGCCAGGAGCGGCTTGAATCTGGCACACCCTTCCCTGTGCCGCACGTGACCTCAGAGGCGCATGGAGCCCTCACTTCTCCTCCTTCTCCACCGCAGGTGTTTGAGGAGCTGTGGAAGGGCGATGGGAAGACAGCGGCGCAGATTGTGTCAGAGCAGCAGCTGGAACTAATGCAAGACCGGGAGGCCCTGGAACAGCTCTGCCAGGCCACCATGGACAGCCACCCCCAAGTGGTAACTGCTCCGGGGTGCAGGGTCTTCCCATGAGCAGGGGTGAGGCCAACCTGGCGTCAGCCCACAGCTGCTGCCGCAGTCACAGCCCCTTCCTCATGAGGGCCGGCCAGCCATGTCAGTGCCTACTTCTCTGTCAGCCCTTAAAAGTCGTGAGAGACAAACACCAATGAAAAACACAACTTCTTGTTCCCGAGGGAAGTTCCTCACTGGGGTTCGCTCTCTCTGGAGTTAGTGTAAAGGGGCATCATCGGGTCTCCAAACGCAAGCTTTAACTTGAGGGGTCTGCCACACTCTCAGAGTTGTCATTTACATTCTGTGTGGCCACCTCCACTTTGTCAGGACTTGCTGAGGGAGGGAAAAGACCAGGAAATGCTTCGGTTTTATGACCTGTGAGAGGAGGGACGATGCAGAGAGGAAAATGATCTGTAAATTACAGAGAAAATCCTTTGACAGAAACATGGCTGAAAACCAAGTCATTTTTGTGTTGTTAGCATAGCACAAGATAGAATAACCATGCCAAGTTGCAGGTCTCTCTCCTCCCAACCCACGCCAGGTCTAATCATATTGTCTGGAGAGAGATTTTTCAGTGGGGAAAAATTACTAGTATCTCTTTCAGAGTATCACACACTGCCTGTCAGTGTGCGGGGCCACTGGTGGCTCTGCAAAGAGCCCTCAATAAGGAAAGGGAGCCCACACCTTCCCAGCAGTGCCCATCTTCCTGCCCCTTCTGCAGTCACTGATAAGGACACACTTGATTTCAAACTCTTCCTGCGGCACTCAAGCACTAACTGCCAATCAGGACACTTGCAGAGGGAGGCCGGTGCTGTGGATATTTGATGTTGCTCAGCACCTCCTGCCCCCTGCCTGCCACGGCCCTCGCTGAGCAGCTGCCATCCTGACGGTTTGTTTTCTAAGGAGCAGTTTTTGTTGGCAGGGAGCAGGGGTGCCTGCCCAACGGCACTAGAGAACTTGGGAGGTACCCCTGTCTGATTAGAGCTGATGCTCATCACAAAGATGACTGACTCGGGCTGCAGCCATCCCAGAGGAGTGTTCTGGTTCCCACAGCAATCATTAATGATCACCATTCCCTTGTTCATCTTAATCAAAAGCAGAGGAGCCAGGGCCCTTTTGACAGGAACCTAGGAAGGTCTCGGAATTTAATCCCCTCCTCTCTTTCCTTCTTCATTTTACCTCTTACATGAAGGGAAGAAAGAGCCTGAATTTAATTTGCAATCAGTGGGAACCTTGCGAATTGTTGGTAGCAGTCTCTTTATTCTCACCTCCTAACTTCTATTTTTACAGGTGATGGATGTGAGGAACAGAAACCCCAAGGCTATAAATAAGCTGATCGGGCTGGTCCGGAGAGCAAGTCTAAGCCGTGCAGACCCAACTCTGATAAAGGAAATACTTGAGAAGAAGCTGTCATTGTGAGATATTGCTGAGGTCCCTCTGCCTGAGGGAGGACGGGGTGACCCTGAACACAGGAGCCCATGAAAGCTGGTGTTCATGTGGTTGCAATTTGTGTCCCTGGCCAAGCTACACCTCTTGAGAAGTAACATTTTACACAGATGTGTGTCCTCTGAGACCCTATGACCTGAGAGGCATCCATCATGGAAGACTAGCAACCAGAGGTCTGCCTCGTTGTCTGGAAACAGTTCTATGATGATGGCAGCAGTGATTAAAGAAATAGTGTGTTCTAATGTGAAGTAATTCTAAACAGAATAAAGCTCATGTTTCAAACACAGATGCCCATGAATGCTTCCTAGGAGCCAAACACTAAAAGCCAGCAGACCGAGGGATGACAATATGGATACAGTGTATTCAGACCTAAAGTGGGCCAATGCAGATAAAAACAACAGAACAGACTGATGCCACATAACACATTATACAGGCAAGAGGAAGGAAGGAAAGCGTTAGTGCTCACTCAGCTGCCGAGTGAGTGCAGCTTTACCTGCATGGTCAGCTCCACTGAATTAAAGTGACGCACAAGTTTTCAGGTAAATTTAATGAATAAAATATAGGCAGAAATAGCACATAAAAATTAACTTCCACTTCAGAGATTGTATACTTTACAGCCCTCCCAATACAATGCTTTAGGCAAAAAAAAATAATAAATAGAGAAGAAAAACACCATCAAAGAGAAGATCTGAAACATTAAGTTGTTTTACCTGGGAAGAATAAGATTATAAACTAATTAATCAGAATCTTGACCTTTAACTTGTTGGGGGTACAGCTGACAGTGGGGATGAAGGCAGTTGCCTCCATCCCTACTCTGTGATGGTGTCCATTCCTCTCTGAGTCCTGAGCACCCCCTTCTTTCTTGCATGCCTGGTACCTCAGATACCACACTTCTGCTAATGACTAGTTTTTCAAATGTTTTTTAGAAGTATTTGTCAAACTGACAGTAAAGGAGGAAAAATAAAACCAAAAACTTGGAGGCCCTCACCTTAGACCAGAGTCTCTGGCTTGGTGAGATCATTTCTGGGGCCATCATTCCAGGGCAGCTGAGGAATAGAAGGGAGTGGACCCCTCACCTCCATCACCAGAATGACTCCTGGAGTCACTATGGAGGAGTGACAGAAAGTTACCCCTTGTCCAGCCAAAAGCTGAGACAGAGTGGACACAGATTCTGTGGTAGTTTCAGACAAGCAGAAGGAGAGGATATTTAGAATGCCTCCTCACCCAGGAAGCCATGTCCCACATTGTGTTGCCCTGGTGCTTTCCACTAACCTCTCTACAAGAGAGAATCTGTCACTGTGAACCGGAGTGCTCACAGTCAAATCCGGCCGGACCTTTGCTTCATAAGGAACAGTAAGGTTCGGTTTTACAAACTCCATTTTGACCAAAAGTTCTGGCTTGGTCACCAACCCTTGCAGGAAGCACCAAGGAAGCTAGGGTGTGGCTGGGTAGAAGCAGTTTCCAAAGCTGATTTTGTTGACTGAAAAGCAAGCATGAAGTAAGTATCCCAGGGGAGATGCCATCTGCACAGTCTTTCCGAGGCTTGCTCCATCTAGCGCTGACAACTGCCTCGTTCCCCTTGTCTAGAAACCCTAGCCAGGCTTTAGGAGGTCATGCACAGCACAGCGACCAGGGAGAAGCCAGCTCTGACTGGAACCTGACCAGATACATTTGAAAGGTGTGTTTATAGAACATCTTAAAACTCACAAAGTGTGCCTCTGCTGGTGCAGAGGCCTCTGTGAAAGGGGACTTCTGTTCTTGCACAAGTGTAAATGTAGTCTGGCACCTGTTTGTACCAGGTAGAGGAAATCTCACCAAAATGTATGAGTTGGCACCATACCCAAGGCTACTGCCATTTGTCAATGGAAACCACCTGGAGCTGGGTGTGTGACTCAGAAGCCATGGCTGGCAGGGGAAAGTACTGGAAACTGACTTCTCAGTCATTCTTCTCCCTGCACCCCTCTCCCCCGCCACCTCTGCCTGGCTCAAGCCCAAACCATGTACCCTGCTGCTTTACGCTAGCCAATGGTCCTCGCAGGAAGCTAACAAGGGAAACAAACGACCGGGCAGGTCTCTGCACCCCTCCCTTGCTAACTACCAGGATTTTAAATTCTGGGCATCTCGGTCCAAAGGCAGCCTTTTGCACTTGCTATCTTCATGCAAGAGTGGAACGTCTGTTCATTTCTCTCAAGGCACAGACACAGAAACTACTAGTATTCTACTGAGGTGAGTATCATCCCTGCCCCCTCTTAACATAATTATTGGTAACCCGGAAATGTGCCTTGAAAGGTTTGCGCCTCTTCAAGTTGGTCATTTACATACTGTAGCCTATGGGATGGCCCACAATTTATATCGTATCTTTCAATTGCTTTGAATTTAGTTGTTACCATTTCAAGGACTCTAATGAAGGGAAACAGTTCATCTAGAAGGCCATGTGATTTGCCCATTGCCAGAAGCAGCATGGATGTGGCTGCTGGGCTGCTTTGGTGGGTTCTAGAAGATGTCCCTGGGAACTGCTTTTCAACAGAACCATGGGTGGGGAAGTAGAAGGCATTTCAGGTCATGGCTGAGCAAAAGTCTTTTAAGCAAGACCATCAGCACCAGATCCTTGTAAAATGTCTTCAGGAACAAAAGAGGCCTGACTTTTGGCGGTCCTTTTGTGGACTTGTCCCAGCAAAATGTCACTTGACTTACTAAGAAAGACAGACTTGTGTGACCTCAGCTCCGTGAAATTAAAAACCTGGCCTGAGCACTTTTTCCACCATCTTTCTGGGTCCTGAAGTGACACTGCTCTTCTAAACTCTCTAAAAGAGCCCTGAAATGGACACGGGAACAAAATCCTGTGGTTAAGGGTGTATGGGCTAACTCACATCTTCAAAGACAAGTACACAGCTTGCTGTGACCAGTCCAAGCTAAAACTATCTGCATCAGCAGGCAATCTCTGGGACCATAATCCACAGATACTGAACCTCCTGCCTTCCTCTCCCATGATACTTTCCCTCTAACGAGCTTCACAGAAAATCTCTTGCTAAAACCTTGTTTATCTAGTTAATGAGCAGCTGAGATAACCTGTCCTTCAAAACAAGTAATGGACTATTACATGCCTGGATGTCGAGGGGATTTGCTGAGATAAAACTATCCCAGAAGCTATTCTGAGTCCTCCGAGAGCTTTTTGGGAAGCATTAGGTTTATGATGATCATTTAAAAGGAAGAAAAAAGCCACCTCCATTCTCTTAAAATGTCTCCTTCCTTGACAGACTTAAGGGTGGAGTACACACTCTTGAAAAGTTGCTCTAAGCCGGTATGTGATGGGGAATTGGTGTGTGACTCAGAGACTGGTAGCTGGAGTAAAAGGGGCTAAGATGTCCCCCCTAATGGTTTAAAGCTGCTGTGGCCTCAGCTGCCAGAGGAACTGCTGCCTCGGGAAAAGCTAACTGCAGAAATGACTTGAGGTTTGCAGCAAACTGTGTATTAGGCTGTCCGGGCCAGTGACTTGAAGTGGCAAGTGCAATAATAGCCGCCCTGCAATAAAGCATTTCATAAAGATGGCAAGCTCGACAGCCATGTCTGCAAACACACAACTGCTAATTAGCAATTGAACCTGACTACCCTTAAGTGAGATTGGAGCGTAGTCATATTTAACATCGTGCCTGTGACATGCCCCACCACGCTGGCCAGACTTCCCTACTGAGAGCGACCTGGGATCCTCTAATCCAGAATGGGTAGCCACATCCCAACCTCAGACCTCTAACTGGAGCTGGATACAAACAACTGGATGCCCACATAGAGCAACCCAAAACAGTCACAGGTCCAGTTTCTAACTTCTATTCGCAGAAGGATGCTTTGCTGAGAGCACCCTGCCTCAAGTTGTCTTAATGGGCTCAAAATGGACAACTACATCTAACCGAAACAAAAGCCACTTGCTACGGACTGTTGCTTGCCACCAAGGACCTGCAAAGGACTGTATGGATACCCATGTCACACAACAGACATCATTGCACTCTCAGCATGTCATAGGACTTTCCTCAACGATGTTAAACCAAATGGGGACATCTCATTTGGCTCTGCCAGAGAAAGGCAGGGTTTAACATTAAAGCCACCTTTAATTAGTTCTCCCTACAACTGCACTTCAGATCCAGGAGACTGTAATTCATCTGTGTTTTAAGCTGAAACTACACTGGATTTCTTTGTTCAAATTTTTACATTTACCTGGCTATTTTCAAAATCAATTTTAACTATCCCTGTGCGGCCATGTATTTTGAACCATAAAATTCACTCAGTCTAGACCTTAAATCAAGCCCTGAATTATGGATCCAGGTTAATGTTGCGGTGTTCCAGGAACCCTCTACTCCTGTCCCTGCTGAGGTCCGTCAGGCTAGACATAGAGACGCCAATCCAGGGCCTGTGCCAAAGAGGTAGTGTCTACTGTTGCCCCTCAACAATGGCAGCTGATGACACCTGTCACAGGGAAGGGGACACAGTCCCTGAACCATATTTTAAACACATCAAATATCTTTAAAATTCTCTCCTAAAATGTATTAGAGAGAGAGAGAGAGAGAGAGAGAGAGAGAGAGAGAGAGAGAGAGAGAGAGAGAGAGAGAGAGAGAGGTTCAAACTGTGAGCCTTAGGACCACAATAAGCCACCTCGTGACTCTGTTTTCCCACAAGGAGCTCCTGTCATCACCTGTCTGCCTAGGGCCTTCCTACCTGCCTAGAGCAGGGTTCACTCATCAAATCATCAGGACTCTTCCGTCTATAGCTCAGATTTGCTCGTGGCGTGTCCACACCATTCCTGGCTATATAGTTCAACTGCATGGGCTTTGAGGTGCTGCTCAATGCTCTATTCCCAGGTCAGTTTTCTGACTTCTGTTTTGTAAAACTCTGAGTATAGCCCTCTTAGGGAAGTCTGTAAGGAAACAAATGGAGTTAGAGAAGGGTTGGCAAGTAAGTTTGCTATGAGTATCCCACCCCAGGTACCCTGATTTCCTGACCCTTCACCTGGGACTCAGGGCAGTCATCTCTGTCCCCTAAGTCTACATCAGCACCTTGGGGTGGGGGTAGGGGGAACAATATGCAAAGTCACTCTTTCCCAATAGGCACCATCCACAAAGGGGACTCTGGGGTGCATAATAAATTAATAAATATGTAGAAAAGGTATAGAGTATAGCTAAGTAGCAGCATGCTTGCTTCGCCTATTTGTAAGAAGAAAAAAATATGGACTTGAGAAGAATCAGTACCTATGCTGATGGGTATAAAACCACAAAGCTTAAAAACTCCATTTGCA